GCCAGATATAAAAAGCAGCGCTGAGTCACCCTCCGCGGTGGTGGGCTCGCGCGTTCCCATCCTCAGGCTCCCGCGTCGGCCGTATTCAATCAGTAAACGCTGAACCCAGGGCGGCCTGTTCACACCTTTGAAGGTTCGCAGAGCTCTGCGGCTGTGCGGCCCAGCAGCAGCAGCTCCAGCCAGTCGCACCTGAGAGTGTCCGCACGGCAGCCAATGGTGGAAGAAACTGGAGTACCCGATGTTGCAACCTCATGGCTTGCAAAAACTGTAAGGTCTTCCACTAAGCGTTCTTCTCCGTCAGTTCTTCCAGAAAAGTCAAGTGTAAAGTAAGTGTAATTCTGGGAACTGATTCATGTTTACTCTTTAGCTGGGAGATGCGAACTAAAAATTAAAAGTCATTCCATCTTGCCCGGCCCAGTGGCGCACGCTTGTAATCCCAGCACTCAGGAGGCTGAGGCGGGAGGATCACTGTGAGTTCCAGACCAGCCTGGGCTACATAGTGAGTTCCAGACCAGTCTCAACTACATAGTGAGATCCTGTCTACAGACTACAGGAACTGTATAGACACAGAAACAACCAAGAGGCTGGAAATACAAGAGTGAGGTTAGGTGTTCCGAGATGGATACAGATGAACTACATTGGATCTGCAGAATCTAGGGCCTCCCCATGAAATCTGTGAAGCCTGTGACCCATCCTCTTACCCTTGGTCCTTTCTGGTCTGTGGCATGGGACTTAAGTGGCAGCAGGGACCCCAGTGTCCTGTCCTGTTCCTGCTTCAGCTTCAGCCTCAAGCTGATTGTTTTTCAGCAATTCTCCTGCAGCCCCGTGTCTTGCCATGATCCCTGGTGATTTCATAAGCTCACATGGAGTCTATAGGCTCATGTGCATGGTTTGTGCAGAGAAAAAGACAAGGTTCCTGCATTCTCAGTCTGTCCTTTGTCTCAAAGGCAGTCCTGACTTCGCTGAACTTTCTAAATGCTTGGGAAGTGAAGTGTCCAGCCCATGACCTGTGTTCAGAGCCAAGGGCTTCTGAAGGCTGGCGTTAAATCCCTGTTTTCCAAATCCTTCCCACACTGACATACACAAGTACATGTGACCAGGGTTCCAGAGGATGTGAAGCCTGTTGCTGTCTCTGATATAATAGTTGTCCTTGGAGTGTTTGTTGACATTGTTTCCAAAAAAAAAAAAAAAATCAATGCTGACTGAGGTAGGGTATGATTTTAGTTGAAAGGAAACAACAGGTGTACGCTCTGCAAGCAGCTCAATCATTGGATAAAAATAAGAAAGTGGAGAGCAGAAGAGTATAGAACTCAGGGGATGACGGGCAGTGGCAAAATCAACTCCTGGACCAAAGACACTCTTCCTCTGAGGTCACCCTGGTCATAGGGTGGAAATAAAACGGGTCTTGAGCTGACTCAGAATGAGAGTGGGTCAAAGACGACAGGCCTGAGGCAGCAACAGGAATCTGAGGGAACTTTGTTGCTAACTGTAGTTCTGGGAATCATTTTAGCCAACTACTTTAGTTGAAGCCAAGTAGTGGAAATTTAGGAAGTGAGAGTCTGGCTTTTCTCTTGGTGAAATAGTCACACGAGCAAGTGTGTGTGTGTGCGTGTGTGTGTGTGTGTGTGTGTGTGTGTGTTTATCTAAATATAATGGGAGAAGTTTTCTTTTTCCCTGGCCTGTTTCTCCAGAGCAAATATGGAGTTTTTAATCCTTACTATGTAAATGGTTGAGTGATAATATTAAGCTAATCTTTCCAGATACATAGACTTTCACGTTTTTATTAGGTCATATAAATTACACAGAACAGTGAGTTTCATTTTAGCATATTGAAGATTGCATATAATATATTTTTGGTTATATTCATCATCGCATTACCCCTCTCTCCTGTCCCCCCATCTCGTCTCCTTTCTAATTGTCTTGTTACTGGTCATGCCCCATCTTCCTGTACTTCATAAATTCTGCATCAAAAGCCCTCCCTGGTTGTTTACGAAAGGGAGACACTTTATTTTCTGTTTATAGAGGTCTGTCAGGAAGAGTGCCTAGTGCCGGGCATGGTGGCCCATGCCTGTAATCCCAGCACTCGGGAGGCTGAGGAAGGAGGATCACAGTAAGTTCAAGGCTGCATTGTTCAGGACCTGGGCTGCATTGTTCAGGACCAGCACCAAGTACAAAGCAAGATCCTGTCTTAAAGAAAAAAAAAAAGGGTGCCTAGCACTTGAACCAGATTGGTCACTGCTGTTCCTGTTCCACAGGACTGCATTCTACACAGTAGCACAACACATTAAACTGTTCGGTATAGGGATGGACAAGCATTTGGTATAAAGAGGGGCACAAAGCATGGTATTCCTCTTTGGATGTGAAACATTCCCCTAAAGGCCATGAATGTAAATCTTGACCCACAGTGCAGCAATATTCACAGATGGGACCTAGACAGGTGATCAGGGCATGACCTTTTTAGTGATTTAAACTGTTAATTTAATGAGATCAGAGCTGAATGGCTATTAGGAAGTGGAGCCTTATTTGAGGAAGCAGGTCTTGGGGGTGTGACCTTGTGGATTCTGTCTTGTCCTTGGTCTCTTCCTGCCTGGATCTCTCTACTCCTTTTCTTGACCCATATGAGGTGAGCAGCTATCCTCTGCCTCCCATTCCCACCACGGTCAAAACTTCAGAAAGTAAGAGCCCAAATATACCTCCAATAAAAGTGCAAATTGAACTTTTCAGATATTTTGTGGTAGTGACAGAAAGCTCTGTAACATAAATGTAGAATTACTGAATTCAGTCGCCATCTCTTCCTGTAAGGATGAAAATACTCAGGAATCCAGTGTGCATGTAGTATCCAGAGTCTAGGTAGTAATAAGACTAATTAAGTGCCTCTGCATCATGGAGGGTTTCACAGAGACCATGTACAAATGAACCTTCAGGCATTTCATATGGATCCTGTTACATCAAAAGCTTCTGTCATGAGTGAATTAGGTACTCAGGTCAGAAGCTTGAGCCTTGGAAAGAAATTTATGAACTTGATGTCAGATACACCCCTCATTAAATCTGATTAGCAATATAAGAAATTAAAAACTCTAGCAGCACATTTCTAAGGAAATATCTAATTCAAGAGTCAAAGTTATTAGGTAGCTTGCAAAGCATATGACATTATTAATAGTCAACTAATAATTATAACAGAAAATGTATGGAAACTATTAATTCTGTACAAACTGAGCTCAGGGTCTCAGAATGTCAGGGAATAAAGTTGCGAGCCAACAAGAGGAAGTTGGAGAAGTTTTTTTTTTAAGTTGGAAATAAAAAGGAAGAGGAGGAGAGGAAGAAGAGGAAGAAAAAAAAAGAAGAAAAAACAGGTTCTTGGCTTTTCCAGGAGGATAATCCAAAAAAAAGAGAAAAAAGTGGAATTTCCACATGACCCTGTTAAATTCTTGGGTGCACACCCCACCGCTGCACTGCAGCCAACCAGGAATCATAAACTTCATGACAATAAGGGCCCATGGCTCAGTGGTACTGCACCTGCCTCACAAGATTAAGGTTATGAGTTCGATCCTCCATACTGAAAAAAAAAAAAAAGCTAACAATAAGGGGTTAGAGATACAAAGTTTAGAAGATAAAACGAAAGCACTTTATTTGAAAGAAAGAAAAGAAAGGAGGGACAGGCAGCTACCTTGTGAGAAGGTAGTGGGTTCAGATCCAGATACCCGGCAGCCCTTTGTTCCTGGCTGCTTTTCTTAAGTGGCAAAAAGATCTTTCCCCCTGGAGCTTGTCCCAGGCCCCAGGATCCCAACCCAGGTACCATTGCCTATATATTATATGCACACTCCCAAGTGAACTTCATTTGATTTTCTTTCTTCCTGCCAATGTCTTATCTCTAAAATCTATGGATTGGTTAAAAAGGACCTTACATAAAAGTCAAGTTAACAAGTAATGGACTAATATACTAATGTAGTGACCTTGGAGTGGATAGAAGAGAGAAAGAGAGAGAGAGAGAGAGAGAGAGAGAGAGAGAGAGAGAACAAATAAAAAAATATACACACACTTCAAGAGTTCATCGTAATCATAAGTATCTGGAAGCTAATGGCCACCACTTTAAGCATCTCTTAATAGAGGCCAGAAGTAACTTCTATTTTTCTCATGATGTCTCAATAAATTTGATATTAGAATCTTTACACAAATTTTTGCTTACAGCCTAAATTTCTTCTGTATCCCAGGCCCATTACGAGAAAGTGATCAAATGGATTGAGTGTGGGGTTCTGTTTCAGCAAACATTCTGGCCCTTGTGCTTGGCAATATGTTTATATTCGGAATTCAGGTTTGTTTTGTTTTGTTTTGTTTTTTACCCTGGATAGAGTATGAAGCTTGTTTGTGGGCGTTGGAATGTTTTGTTTTTCTTTCTGCAGGAGAATGAAGACTCTTTTGCAGAAATTTGCTATCATTTACCTCTAATTTCTTCATTTACACAATAATTGTACTCCTCTTGGATTACATATACTAATTTACTTGAATAAAAAGGAGAAACAGTGTGAAAATTTTGGCGATGAAGCCGACTGATTCATTCACAGCAGGTCCCCTCCCCCATGCCATTTTGTCCCGTCCTGGCCTGGACTCGTGTTTATCGTCACCAAGGGAGTGATTCTTCCATCGGATATTCACCCTGGAACCTTCTGAGCACCTGTGACCCATTTTCAGGAAGAGTCCACTAAGCCCATAAAGAAAACCAGGTCAGCTCTGAAAAGTTAGGAGTAAAGCCTTTAAATGCAAGTACTCCTCGTAGGAGGTGAGACTGACATCGAGAGAGGGAGGGAGGGGGCCGGAAAAAGGAGGAAGGGAGAGAGGGAGGGAGAGAGACTGGTACAGAAGTTCCCAAGTTACGGCTGCCCTCTGAGGGCGAGAGGTTTGCGCCTTAGTTCACGCTCAGCTCAGCAGGCTAAGAACCAAAGGGGAGCCAATCAGCGACGAAGGCTCGTGCGGTCTGAACGACCCAATCAGCTGGGCGGAGGGGGCGGGACTTCCTGTGTCATGGCGCTGACGCGCCAAGCGTTATTGCGTTGCTGAGAGTCCCGCGCTGATAGATCACCTTTGTTTCGGTGACTTCTGCCTACTGCAGGCTGCATTCACAGGATCCTCGGAGACCTTCGAGCCACGCAATGGTGACGTTACGGAGTGGGAGCTGGGAATGGGATGGAATTGTCAGTTCTGGGAGGAAGTGGCCAGACCCAGCTGTGGCAGTCCTACTGCTACTCTGCTTAGCTCCACACCCTGAGGTCTTCCTGAGTCTTTGGTCCTGCGTTATCATCTGTCCCGGTTTGCTGAGGCGGGGACAGTTCTGGGACCCCAGCATCCTGTCCCCACTGTGACATTGCCAGCCCACAATGCCTTCTTGGGCTGTCCGGGACACAGCTGTTTCTCCACCAGTACAAGGAAGCCCGGGTTTGAAGGCAAACCAAGGTTCCATACTAGGCAAAGAAAAGATTATCACTTTAATTATTTACGTGAGACCTCTACCCACAATGGTGTTACTGCATAAACAGCTAGTAATCTCACAACATTGAGAAGTGAGGTCTCGAACCAAAGAAGGAAGTTAGGAGAGATTTTATTGGCAATAAGAATAGCTCCCAGATTTCCAGGATGCGTCCCAAGTGAGTGGCCGTGTGGGCTCTCAGTACAGAGAGGATTATAATCAAGCAGAACATAATAATTGCTCAGTTCTTTAGTGACCACCCGTCACACATCTCTACAGATTTAAACAACCACTGTGTTTTGTTTTTGTTGTTGTTTTTGGAGAGGCTGGCTGTGTAGCCCGGGCTGTCCTCTAACTCTTGGAGATCCTTTTTCATACTCGAGTGCTAGGATAACAGACATGAGCCACCACACGTGGCCAAAAAACCACCTTAACTCAGGCTCTCTAACCCATTTCCTCAGCATGCAGGGTTTAAAGGAAATGAATTTTAGGGAAAAACTGGTTATTTTGTATTTTAAAGTCCTTGAAACTCAGGAGCTTAGTGGGGATTGGCTGAAACTCCTTTTGGTAGGGAGAGAAGTCTGCATACTTTGTTGTGCAGAAAGTTAGCTATTGGTTCAGAGTCCTAGGAAATTGTCTATTCTCATTTTAATTCTTATCAAAACCACCAATTTCCCAACTCTCCCACAGACCCTTTCCCTAGCTAAGTGCTTTATTTATAAGCTAACTAAATAAAATATTCTTTACAATTGGACTATTTTGATAAACTTTCCATAGAGTAGAATGCTGAGAAAGATGCAGGGTATGATAATGTGTTAGCAAGGGAGAGGAAAGTGTTCCTGCTAAGGACAACTTCCTGAAGGGGCTGCCAGTTAAAAACCCACATTGAGAAATACACTGAACTGGGGGTTCTACGGGGATGGATGGATACATGTGATAATCCTATGAGTGGAAAAGGAAATGGGTGTCATCTCTGAAATAATTGCTGTAGTCCTTGGACTGTTTCTAGACATTGTTTTAAAAATTGAAACAATGATTGAGATGACTGTGTAAAACAAGTACTAAAATAAGGGTAAATTCCCATAGTAAGAGGTGTATGAATGCATATGAACAAAAGAATTTTTTTTTGAAAGGGAAGAGCAAAGGCAAGTAGAAAGGAAATAGGAGAGCAGGGAATTTTGGAGGGTGGCCAAATCAGCAACCAGAACAGTAAACTTTTGAGGTCAGATTGATTTAATGAGATAATAAATGAAGGATTGTCTGCTGGCTTGGTCTAGGAGTAGGACATTGGACACAAGCCTACAGAAAGAAAGGAAACTTAGTCATAGATAAATACTACTTTTGTGTCTACTGATTGGCTTATCTAATGATTTTTGAGGCAAGATAGGAAATTAGGACACGGGTCTTTTAGATTTAAAGTATGTTGGACATCGTGACTGATGTAGAATGGGAAGGGGTTTCCATTGGATATAAAAGATTTCAAGGTATATTTGATGTTTTGTATTGTACAAAGACAGAACTCAGGAATTTTGCTCTTAGCTACATCCTCCCAAATTTAAATTTTTAAAAAAATTTGAGACCAATTTAGTAAGGGTGGTGGGCCCCGGATGGGGAGAACTTTTGACACTGTTTCTATGTCCTTGACTGTTGGGATGACAGACATGTATTACCTTGCCATTTAAAGTTGAGGTTCTTAAATCACCATGATTTACCAAGATTTCAGCGGTTGGGTAAAGTAAACATGACTGAAGCCTGCTGGTGTGCACCTTTATTGCCAAACACTTGGGAGACAGAGAGAGGAATATTAAATCACCAAGCCCAGCCTAGATAACTGAGCAAGACTCTGTTTCAGTATGAAAAAAGTATTTTGGATGTACCTCACGCTATTCTAACTTGTCTAACGTACACAAAGCCCTGAATTAATTCTCTAGAAATGAAGAGAAAATCTATTTAGTGCAAATCTTTTAATTTTGAAATGTACTCGTTTATCATACTAGGGAGACATGGTACAATACTTCCTTATGATGGTGGATAGCAGCAATGATTCACTGCTCTCTCAGAAACAGGACAACAAGGGTGAAAAATCAGTGATTCACAGGGTATCGTATCCAGTAAAGTGCATGAGATATTGAGTGTTTTATTACAAATTTGGCTTTGTGTTATATAGATTTCCACATTCAGATCAAGGTATGAGTAGTAAGCAGGTTTAGAGGATCCAAGGCTTAGCAATCATGTTTGCTTGATCAGGTATATTTTATGCATTTTGAATACATTTTATATTCCATTTCCTTTGGGTTGATCAAGATATTTTCCTTTTCAAACTCAAGCAACATTTGTAGACTCATTCTTTCAATTCTTCATAAAGCCCTCTGTAGAACGTGACACTCATCAGATTGTTTCCTGTTTTGAATGCTCTATGAACCAGATTTGCCAGAGCAATCAAATCAGGAGATCAGTGTATTTCTGTGACTCTGAGATACAATATGTATATTACCCCTTGTGACAGTGTCTACCCTGTGGCTTTATCTTTGAACGTGTTCAGTTATATCAATTCTAGTGACAGTAGCAGTTTTCTACCTCGCCTTGGGTGAGTCTAACGTAATCCAAGATTTCCCCTTCCACATTTTCCCACATGAGGAGGCACTTTACAGAGAAGAAATCTTATAAAACATGAGTGTGGTCTCGTACACTGTTTAGTCCTCATTGTCTATATCTTCATTATATCAGCCATCTTTAGTGTTGCTTGCTGGCAAATAGCAGACTGTCTTTTCCATGGATATAATCTACCTCACTGTGTTTGGCAAACTGTCTGATCCTTCATCAGTCATTTCCAGCCCAAATTTTAAAACACCTTAAGGAGACTATGCAGAGCCTGACATACAAGGTCAACAATCCTATCACTTTCATCCATAGGGACAAGCATCAGAAGAACAGTGCAGCATAGAGGAGCACATTGGATCCCGTGTTGCTTCCTTTACTTCCACTCATCTGTCTTCTTTGCCATACTCTTTCCTTCCTTTTAATTTCTGTTTGTCATTTCCTTTCTTCCTTTCTATATCCCTTCTATTTTTCCATCTTTTTATTCCTTCTTGTTTCCATTTGTTACTCTCATACCTTTTTTTCAGTTTTCTCTCTCAAATATCTCTTTCCAACTTTTCTCCCTTCATTCATTGTTATTAAGTTGTAGTGTGAATAGCTCTCCAAATTCTTTGAACATTTATCATCAACTAGGAATTATCGTTTCTGCCAACTTTACTAAAATATAATTCACTTATAATTTGATTCATTCACTTAAACATGTACATGATCAACACACCAGTCCATTTAGAAATTTTTTTGTGTCTAAAGAAATTCTATTTTCTTATTTCTCCTATTTTCTCAAGCCCTATGAACTGCTAATGTACTTTGTACACTATAAATTTTCATATTCTGGGCATTATGTATAAGTGGATAATTCAACACTCAGTAATTCTTTTTTTGCATGACATTTCCAATGTTCATTTATACTGCAGCATTTATCAGGATTTTCTTTTTATGAATGAATAATATAGAAAGCTTTTATTTTTGGTTATTCATCAATTCATGAACATTTCAATTGTTTCTACCTTTTGGTTTTTGTGAATATAAGGTGTATAATTTAGTTTAAAATGCATCCCTTCCTGTAAGGTGAGCCTACATCATGTCTCATGTCACCAGAGAAAGGAGCTGAGGATTCAAAAGGCAAGTTAGAAAGATGTTAACTAAAGAGAGAACTCCTGACTGCAGGAGAGTGTGGGAAAGTGGGTTGCCAGTGAGGCTTTTTCTAGGAGTTTTTATACAGTAGAATCATATTGCAGGTTCACTCAGTTCAAGCTAAAATTAACCTGTGGGACTTTAAAGTACAGTTGCTTAGGTAATACTGATCTAACAATGCTCAAGCAAGGCACTTAACAAGGATACATGTGCAGGCATCATTAACTCATCTGTAATTGTTAGCACAAAGAACCAAGGTATTCCTGGAAAGAGTAAGGATCAGGATTTTCTGGTCATCCATTCACTTATTTTGGTTAGATTTCTTGGGCTTACCTGGCCAGATGGTGCTAGTTATAGTACAACTTTTGAGTAATTTATCTCTGGTAAGGCTTGTGAGCCTAACCATTGTGTCTCCATCTTGGGGCCTGGTTTCTATCAGCTCAGCCCTCAATTATAGACCTTGTTTATCTCTTCTCAAAAGTGGATATATCTTGGGCCTGGTCCATTTCTAACTGCCTGTTGGTCTCTGTTTAACATAACTATTTGCAATATAATCATGTATTTATATGCATGTATAAATTTTGTGTGGACTTATATCGTTATAACTCTTGTATATATACCCAAGATGATTGATGAATAATATGGAAACAGTTATGACTGATTTTGTCTTTTTCCATTCAAAGTTTGATAAAATCTAATCCTAGTGGTAATACTGATAGGTAAAAATATTATTGGAGTAAATGTGGACAGTTGGGTTACTATGGAAGCAATTATAAATAGACAAGTGTTTTTTAGTGTCCCTATAATTGAATACTAGAATTGAATCATGGGGGGGGGCATATACAGTCGTACCTTGGTGAAGAGATTTAATTCATTCCATGGCTCTGGGAAAAATGGGCACTATGTAGTCCAGGATGGCCTTGAATTCACTATGTAACTAAGGGTGGTCTAAAAGAA